GCGGGCGGACACGCGGGGCTTCCCTGTGCGGGGGGGAGGAAGGGGTGGGCCCCGGGGCAGGTGCACGCTGGTTTCCTGGAGGGGGGGAGTATGCTGGGAGGAAGGAGATGCAGGGGACTCTCTGCGTCCACTGGCACCCCACTCCCCAGCCCCCTCTCCCGAGTCACAGAACGCTGTCCCCACTCCTGTCCTCAGCTACAGAACTTGGTCCCCATTCCTGTCCCCACTCCCCGAACTCTGTTCCCACTCTCCTGTCCCCAGCTACAGAACTCTGTCCCTATTTCCGACCCCACTCCCCGAACTCTGTCCCCACTGGCACTCTGTCTCCTGCTGCAGAACCCTGTCCCCACTAGCACCCTGTCCTCTGCCCTCCCAGCACCCTGTTCCCTCTCCCCTGCCCCCAGCCGCAGTACTCTGTCCCCACAAAATGTATAATTATAAATGCTTCATTTTAGACTTAAATAGCATGAATAAAAAACAGACCATTTATTTCATAACTATAAACATGTGATTTTAATTGTATGTATCGCATAATTTAAAAATAAACTGTTGATCAGAGTGTGTAAGTGTGGGCTGGGGATAGCAAGTGATGGCCAGGAAGAGAATATAGAGGGCAGGGCTTCAAGGAAGGGGCGGAGCTTCAAGGAAGGGGCGGTGCGGTAGATCTTCGCCTGTTCTGAGATTTAAAAAGTGATCATGGGTGTAAAAAGGTTGGAGACCACTGCTCCAGTGGGTCCTCTGAGATCTGTGTGTTCTATATCCCTTGCTCCTTGTTGGCTTGATCCTGCTAAGTGATGAGCACCATAATGCTATGAATTTAACGGATTACCAATCTGCTTAAACATGTGCTTAAGTGATTGTCAGGATGGGCAATATTTTTAATGGGGGGGGGCACTCCAAAATCTTGGTAAGTGGTCAAGGCCCGCCCTTCTGTGGAGGGGACGCAGGGTCTGGGACAGCAAGTGGTGGGTAGAAGGGAGTTTGGGATAGAGGACTGGGGTGCAGGAGGGAGTATGGGCTCTGAGAGAGAGTTTGGATTATGATCTGGGTCAGGGAAATGGGATGCAGGGTCAGGGAAGGGTATGTGTGTAGGAAAGCATTCTGGCTTGAGGGAAGGGTGTGGAGGTGAGTGTAGAGTCTGGTAGGGAGTTGTGACCTGGAGGAGGTGAGGAGAGGGGATATAGAGGGTTTGGGTGGTGGCTTGGTGCAGATAGTTTGGGGGGGGGGGAAGAGTTGGGATGCCAGAGGCAGGCTCTCGCTGGGAGGCACCTACCTAGGTAGCACCCAGCCAGCAGCTCTGCAGGAACCTGAGCATCCCTGCCCATGTGCTGAGTGGGCTGCTCCATGTTGCTCTGCTCCAGCACAGAGATGGAAGGAGGGAGCAAGGGGTGTGTGAGGAGGCTTCATTCGCTGCCCCTGCCTTCAGCAAAATTTCTCATCTCCTGGTTGGCTGGAAACCGGCCAATGGGAGTTGAGGGATTTTGCTAGGGGGCAGGGACAGTATGCAAAGCTTTCTCCTACTTGTCCAGACTGCGTAGCAATTAACCTACTCTTTAGAGCAGCTGCAGCTGCCAGCTGCAGCTGCAGCTGCTCTATAGCAAGGGTGTGGGAGAGACGGCTTTGGGCCAGATCTGGTTGCTTAGTGGGCTGGATCCAGCCCACTAGCCACCTCTTGCCCACCCCTGGCTTAGGTGGACCAGGGCCAGAGTGTACAAAACTTTACAGGATGAACCCTCTCTATTGGGACAAACTGAATGTTTAATACCTTTAAAAATAAAATGTGTTCTTAGTAATATATTCTTCTGTACTGAGTGTACTCTGATATGTTTGTTTTCTGCTTGCAGTACAAATACAAACTAGCCTATGAACAGGCAAAAGGAAAGCACATTGGGTTCCGTAGCCTTGAAGATGATCCTAAGCTGGTGCACTTCATGAAGGTTGCGAAGATGCAGTCTGATCGTGAATACAAAAAGGACTATGAGAAGTCAAAGACAAGATTCCATACCCCAGCTGATATGTTCAGTGTAGTGGCAGCTAAGAAAGCACAGGAAGTGGCTACCAATACAAACTACAAACATTTGATCCACCATTACAATGTTTTGCCCGATGCTATGAATCTTGAATTAGCCAAAAACATGATGCAGATACAGAGTAATGTAAGTGGAAGACTCTACAAAATTTTTGTAACCAATTGAGTGATAATTGAGTTTATGAATAAATACCGTAGATTAAATCTTAGTGTGTTATGTGCAAACTAGTGCAGGCTGGCAATAATATGCACTTTGCATTTCTTAGAGTATTCTGAACTATTAAACTAGTTTATAAGGAATTTAGATATCATCTTTCAAGTAACAAAAGGAAGACAAGTTTGCCCACTTTGTTCATAAGCTTGTCACTTGCATTTATAGCTTACAATGTCCATTTGACTCAAGGGCTGTGTCTAGACTGGCATGATTTTCCGGAAATGCTTTTAACGGAAAAGTTTTCCGTTAAAAGCATATTCGGAACAGAGCATCTAGATTGGCACAGATGCTTTTCCGCAAAAGCACTTTTTGCGGAAAAGCGTCCGTGCTAATCTAGACGCGCTTTTCCGCAAAAAAGCCCTGATCGCCATTTTTGCGATCGGGGCTTTTTTGTGGAAAACAAATCTGAGCTGTCTACACTGCCCCTTTTGCCTGAATGGGAGCAGAATAGTATTTCCACAAAAAGCACCTATTTCTTACAGTAGGAAGTCAGTGCCTTTGCAGAAATTCAAGCGGCCAGTATAGACAGCTGGCAAGTTTTTCCAGAAAAGCGACTGATTTTCTGGAAAAACTGGCTAGTCTAGACACAGCCAAGGAGTAATACTTGTGTACAGCCCTCAGCAAGGAAAGCTTCATTAACAGAATCCTCATACATTTTCTAAGAAATTGTCCCTTCAGAATTTGGAAAATCAAAGTTGGGCCCTGTTGTACCTCAGAGGGGTGTTTCCAATGCACGGTGCTACTAGATGGTTACACCTGAGGTGATGGAGCTTAGACACTGTTTCTCAAGGCTTTGACTAAAGTCACAATCTCATGCCACCTGCAGCCCTATTTGGGTATGCTGTAGCATCACAGAAGTAATTGGGATTGGAATTGCATGTGCAACATGTAGAAACATAGGCCCACAATAGGTTTGGGTGAACTATGGCTTGAAATTGGGTTGGGATATTAGAATGAATGAGAAGCCCCAATCATGGAATCAGAAAGAATGAAACCATGAAGAAAATTAGTTGCTGTGTTTAAACATCTGTTTTCTTCAAAATATCAGTTATCTTATTCAAGGATTGGGCTAAAGCAAAAGAAATAAAACATGGTTACGTGCAGTAAATAATTGGCTATATAAGAAAGTCCTTCATCTGACCTCAGCTAAGATCTAATATTTGGCAATGACATCACTTATTAAAAGGGTATTTTAAAAGTAAATTCTTAAGAGTGCAATGCTAATACCTGTCTGGCCAAGTTAGAGCTGACCAGTATGGATCCGAACATTCTTGTCTTTAGCCCATTTGTATATTGCTTATAATAAATATTTTGTATATTGCTTTTTATTTAGGGTGTTTAGTCAAATTTAGAGCAATTGCATAAATTGTTTGGATTTAATAAAGGAATTTGTGATTAAATTAGTTTTGTGGAAATACCCTTTGTAGATTATAATAATTCCAACAGAATGCAAGGGTAGGCCTTATTAAAATATACTGGATGTATACATTGGATACAAAAAAATTGTTCTATTCTGTCCATTTAAATGTGCATATGTTCAAAAACTCAAACACTAAACATACTAAATAAATAGGAGGGAACCCAGAATTTTTAATGTCTGATTTGTTTCCTTTTCCTTACAGAATCAATACAAAGCAGACTATGATGAATTCATGAAGGGTATGGGATGGATGCCAGTAGGCTCTCTGGAAGCTGAGAAGAATAAGAAAGCTATGGACATTATAAGTGAGAAGAAATACCGCCAACACCCAGACAAACTGAAGTATTCTAGTCTGATGGACTCTATGAGCATGGTTCTAGCTACAAATAATGCTAAAATCATGGACAAAGTAAGAAAATATTTGTTATAATTCAGTTATGCAAAAAGTGATAAAAGACAAGTTGGATATCATGTGAGCAAGTTTTTCTGAAATGATCAGTTTTCCAGGGGTGGTAGTAACTGAAATTTCATACAGGGATTCTTGTATTGCATCCTCCCCTGGGGGGCAGGACGGGGGAGGGAGAATCTCAGAGCAGCAGGTTGTGGGGGTTGTGATATGAGAGTACCTGTAAGAAATGTGAGTATGGCTTGGAATGTGGGGTGTGTCTCAGGACAGGGGGCTAGAAGGTGTGGGGCGGGGATGCAGGAGCCAGGACGAAGGCTGTGTGTGTAAGGTGGAGTTTATGGGAGGAACTTGGTCAGTCCCGGTTGGTGACCCTGCCTCATGCTACTCCTGGTCCTGGCCACATGGGAACTGTGGAGTCAGTGCCTATAGGTACAGGAAGGGAATCAACGGTGTGGGGGGTGCTGCTGCACCCCTGGGCTTTTGTCCTAGTGCTTGGGGTCCCAGTGGCTGGCCCCATCTCTGGAGGGTTGGGGGGAAGGACAGTGGTTAGGGTGCTGGATCAGAGCCTCACCCCCAGCTGACCACTTTTTTACCAGTGTGCTACACCTGGGTACACTGGCTTACTTTCACTTCTGGTTTTGGTTACAAATGAATATGCTGGATTTTCATTAACTTTATTCCCATAGGCCTGAATGCAGCCAAGGAGAAAACTGGCCACAATAGAAATTCAGAGGGGAGCAGTACTGAGGATTCCTTTTTGTTAGCAAACTATGCCCACCTCAAGGCTGAAGGGTCAAATTTTCAAGTGCTAAAGTGCCTTACAAGCCCAAGTCCTAGTTCCAAAAGTACCTTACTCAGGAATAAGGGATCTTTCGGAAAAGGCTTTATTTTCCGAAAGATTCGCGTCTAGACTGGCACTTTTTTCCAGCAAAACTCTGAGCCGGAAAAAAGCGACAGCCATGTTTATGCAAATGAAGCACACGGGGGGGGGGGGAGAATTTAAATCCCCGCTTCATTTGCAATTGTGATGTGTCTAATTTGCATCCCTTTTACGGAAAACGGATGCAGTCTAGACATAGCCTAAGTGAGAAGAGGATCAGATATATTTGGGGCATGTCAGCAAACTTTGTCTGCTCCCATTAAATAGGACAGTTTGTAGTGTTAATAAACCTCAGACTCAAATCTTCCATGTTTTGCTTTATCCTGCAGAAAGTAATTAGACATTATACTCTAGCTGCGTTTTCAAAATTATTAAAAAGAAGTAACAGTTTAACTTAAAGGCCTAGTTCTGTCCTGGGATTCATACTCTGAATTGTGCATGCATTCTGGGAACCTATTAGGTCCTTTTAAAGGAAATGACTTTGATAAAGAAACTAAACATAGCATGTTGTTGCTGAGATTGTAATGCTGACTGTGATGGACCCCACCATGCTTTATGAAATGGGCTTATAGACACAAATATACGTAACTCAAACATGCTTGGGACAAATTGTTGCATGTAGCCTATCAATCTTCGTCATAATCTACTGGATCTGTTTGTCTCATTTTGGTGCATGTGTCATTCTTGTGTGTGAAATTAGACATACGGAATATGGAATGCTTTATGGTTTTAAATGTGCAAAGGAAAGCCATCAAGGATGTTTCCAATGCTGGGATGTCTCAATGTCTGGGGAATCCTATGTAAATAGCCTTTTGTCCTTAAGTCTTAGCAGTGGTTGGTCTTAGGAAGTCACAAGACCTCCCCAACTGGTAGTGACTGGCCAGGTAACTTCCCAGGAAAAAAGGGGGAATCTTTAAAACAATAGGAAACTAGCAGGTCTTGGTATTTGGGCTGGCTGGACACACCTGAGTGAAGGAACCAAAGACCCCAGAGTGAGGAACAGCCCTGGTTTGAAGGCTTAGATAGAAAAGAAACAGTTTTAGAGTGAGTTTGTAATGAGTTTGTACTGAGGTTTCAGTGTAGAATTAGCTAAGTGTTTTTTGTTACTTTGGGTTTGTAATCTACTTTGCTCTGCCTGTACTTACTTATTACCACTTAAATCCTACTGTTTGTACTTAACAAAATCACTTTCATTTTCTATCAAGCCCAGTATAAAAAATTGTTGCCTGGCGGGCAACCGGTGTGTACCTTCCCCCTTTTTTTGTTAAAGGGGGCTTACCTAAATTATTCGTTTGGGGTTCTGATCCCATTTGGGGACTGGTAACCTGGGAAACTAGGCCCTAAATGCAGGGTGGTGAGGAGTCTCAGAGAGCAGGATGGTGAGTGGCAGTTGCTCTGTCAGCACCCTGGAAATCACCCCCAAGGAGTCTTCCGTGAGTACACTACATTGCACTGACATCTTTTTTTATTCACCCATGCAGCACCTGTATACTCAAGCATGGGAAGCAGACAAGACAAAAGTTCACATCATGCCTGATATTCCAGAGGTTGCTTTGGCAAAAGCAAATGCTTTTAACATAAGTGATGTAAGTATGGCTACTAAAACCGATTAATGGGCACTATCTAGGAGTTATATTAGAAGTAATTAAAATGATTGTACAATAGAACCTCACTGATCCTCTCTTCACTAATCCATAGTCATTTACACTCAGCAAAGCTTTTCTAATAGAAGCTTCAATGAGTTATCACAGTGAAGGCAAAATATGCTACAGAATATATACTGGTACATTGTGAAATATTAACATAAATAATTAAAATAGGACTTGTAATTGTTAAAATAATAATTGGATATCCTTGATTCTTATTGTGTTTTGTCCTACTAGTTTTTAAAACTTAGTGCTTAATCCACAACAGTGTCTATTTTTCATGCAAATTAGTGAGCCTATACTGTTCATAATGGGCAACTCTGTGGACCCATTTTAATCTCTGACATCTAAATTACTCTGCCAAAATCTGCACATGTAAAATGAGGAATGGCATGTGTAGACACCAAGTTACAGTGCTATATCCATCTGGAGTCCTACTTCATTATTGGGGCTCTTAGGCAGTATGGTAATATTAATCAGTCAATGTGCAAAAGAGTGAACATTTGTATTGTATTGAAAAGGGTGGCCTCTTTCTTATGGATACAATTTACACCTTCTGAATTTTTCATCAATATTTTTGTACTTGCAGAAACAAATCAGAGTCTTTGCTTTTATGGCTATCTAGCTGCAGGTGCAAATCAGATCCTCAAAGATGCAAACAGTCTGATTTGCACTTATGATTGATTTTGTAATATTGCCCCTTTGTGTGCCTGAATGCTTTTAAGATACATCTATGAAGACAGAGCAATGTATGATCATTATATATTTTATATGCATTAGTTCATTTTCAAAATGGAATATTCTATTTTTTTTCAATTCACAGAAAATGTACAAGCATTCCTTGGAAGAGTTGAAAAGGAAAGGCTATGACCTCCGAGCTGATGCCATATCCATTAAAGCTGCTAAAGCTTCCAGAGATATTGCTAGTGATGTGAGTTTTTGAGCGGGAACTCTCTATTGCCAAATATTCTGAAGTATTCATTTATTGACTTGATTCTATTTTGGATGCTGATTTTTCTGAATTCTTTTTATTGGTTACATTGTTTGGAAATGTGTTTAATAAATATAACTTATACGAGGTGTAAATTGGCTCACGGTGATTAAAGAGCAATTGTTTCATTAGGGAGATTGGGAGATACATCAGAAGGAGTCATTCAAGCATGGATCTCCTTCAGAAAACCAATTTTACCTGTGATAGTACACATCATTTGTCAAAGTGATTTTGCTGTGGCTCTATTTAAAGGAGAAGTATAAAAAAGCTGCATACTTTTTATATTAGATGTGTGTGTGTTACTCCTTAGTCACTGAACATTGGAGTTCAGACATTAGTCTCATCAATATTTGTATGGAACAAAGGGCACTTTGTAATGAAGTAGGTTTGCTGCTAAAACTATAATGGTAGGGCCTAATTACTCAGCTTCTACTCAGTCTCTGGTTAAGTGACATTTGCACTGAAGTTGGGGGTCAATTCTGCAAAGAAAACCTGTACAGGGTTTCACTGCATAAGCTGGGCTAGAAGCACAGAACCCTAGGTACCTTTAAGAACTTTTTTTCTGTTTTCTTTACAGTACAAATACAAATTGGGTTATGAAATGGATAAGGGTAAACTTGTAGGCTTCCGCAACCTCCAGGATGATCCCAAGCTAGTTCATTATATGCAAGTGGCTAAGATGCAGTCTGACCGTGAGTACAGGAAAGCCTATGAGACCAGCAAGACCAGCTATCATACACCTGCTGATACATTTAGTATCATGGCAGCGAAGGAAGCACAAGGTAATATAACCAACACGAACTATAAACAGCTGATCCACAAATATATGCTCCTACCAGATGCAGTTAATATGGAACTGGCCAGAAACATGAATTGGATTCAAAGCAATGTAAGCTACTATTTTTTTTTCTACTTAGTGCTTATGGCTATTGCCTATGCCATTTTTTCAGTTGTATATGAAGTTGGTTTTGTTTTTTGTTTTTTGAAATAACAGAATTTTTTAGTTGCTGAAGTTTGTAAAGTATGACTTTCCTGTTTTGTGTTTTAAAGAACAAGTACAAAGAGGATTACAATGAATGGTACAAAGGACTTGGATGGAGCCCTGCTGGTTCTCTGGAGGTGGAGAAATCTAAGAAAGCCACAGAAATTGCAAGTGACAGGAATTACCGCCAGCACCCAAGCCTTTTCCCCTTCACAAAACAGAGTGACTCCATGGACATGGTGCTAGCAAAACACAATGCAGACGTGATGAATCATGTGAGTGGATGCAGTCAAAATTGCGTGTGTAAATGACCACTGTGCAATTAATATCACTTTCTTTCTCCGACATTGCTTACAATATGGGCTTCCTTGGCAAATTTGCTTTACCAAGTTAATTAATTTCTTTTTAAGGTGTGAGAGAACAAGTCATTTGCAGATTACTTTTACGAGATCCAAGCACCCAATTACTGGCTGAACTGTTTCTTCATCCATTTTTTTCAGGGTTAGATCCATGCCATTGTTACTTGGATGGCGTGTTATTTTCACTGGCAAGATATAAATCTTAATTTTTAATTGTGGAGTTTTGGAGGGAAACATTAAGCTTCCATAACAAGTCTAGTCAGTATGGGCCACAATATTATGCCCTCTTTATTAAGGAGAAACACTGGCTTTAAACAAACGACAGTGGAGCGAGCAGGTGGATAGTCATTGCTAGAAATGTTGACTAAGGGCCTGATGCATTGACCTTAGTGGGAGCAAGATGAGGTCCTAATTAACTTAAATCATAGATTCAGTTAGTACAAATAATTACATCAGCAACTCTCTCTTAGCCCATAGATAAAGTACACACAGACATCTACAATTCATATTAGCATGTCTGGTACTCTTTTTTTTCTTCCCTTCTATAGCATGTGTACACTCAAGCTTGGGAGAAGGATAAACTTCAGATTCATGTGATGCCAGATACACCAGATATTCTACAGGCCAAACAGAACAAAGCAAATTACAGTCAGGTACAGAGTTTGTAAAATACTTTAGAATTAATACATTAAAAAATGAATTATATGCTCCTCATTGAAAGATGTGCTGTTATTTAAGAGCAAATATTTGTTATGAACTTGAGGGAAATGAAAAATAGATGGGATGTGGACTCCTACGTCACTTCAGAACTTCTGAAAATTTAATCCTAAGCCTTTTACTAAATTAGCTCTATTCAGCAAGGTGAACTCAGAAAAGAAGTCTTAGTGCATTCTTTATACCTCCCATAGAGATATACTGGATCTTTCATGGCCTCAGTCAAGTAGATTACAATTTGTTATAAAACTCCAAAACCACTATGTGTAGGTTTCTCAACCCATCCTCATGGACCCACTAGTTCTGTGATATCCTGTCTCTTTAAATGTTTGGATGCTCCTCTGTGAAAACCTGACCTGAAATCCTTGCCCAAGTGTCTATTGTCGGTTTAGCCACAGCTCTGCATTAGAACATGAATACCACATTGCCCCAGAGGAAGTATCAGTAACTAAGGTAAAACAATGCTACTGAAAGTTCCTCAGCACACAGAGGGACAGCCTACAGGGGTACAGTGTATGCACTCCTGCATATCTGGCTAGCTTACTCTTAGGGGAAGGGGAATGAACAAAGAGCAGCCTGTTCCCTGGATGGGACTCCTTGTGCTTTACGCTTTGCATCTATGAAGGGAGTGAGCCACAACTTGCCCTTCAATTTTCACATGCACTTTTCCCAGGCAAAACTTTAGCCCGAGTAAGGGCTGAGGTAAAATGGAGAGTAGTTTTCAGGACTTGGATGCAATGCTTATACAATGGGTCAGCATACTGAAATAGATGTACTGTATTTGTATTGTTTTTACAAAGATTCAGGGAGAGTGTTGGGTAAAACTATTATGTTTTCAATTTTAGAAATTGTACAAACTCGGATGGGAAGAAATGTTAAAGAAAGGCTACGACCTCACATCTGAAGCCATTTCAGTGAAAGCGGCCAAAGCTTCGAGAGACATTGCAAGTGATGTAAGTAATGTTTTTTATTTGATCTGTGATGTAATTTATGCCTTTAGCCACAGTCTAATAAACCTCATTGGGTCAGGTCCGTCCCCGTGCTACGACGATATGCTGGAAGCAATAGGGAGTGAAGAGCTTTTCTTCTCTGTGTTACCAGTGGGACAGATGAGCGAGTAGGAGAGTGATTGCTCCCACATCAGTGCACCATGACCCCAAGGTTGCTGTCTGCCCGCTGTGAGACATATCTAGTCCCCCCAAACCCCAGGAGCAGCCTGTTCTAGCTGGGGCTACCTACTCTATGAATTTTGACCCACTAACTCACCTCTCCCCTGGAATAAATCTACTGCTCAGGTATAGAATAGGTCTCATGACAGACACAGGTCCAGTGCAGCTCCACATCCCAACCTCAGTGCAGTGCTTGTACAGAGGGACAGGTGTTGGCTCATTTTTAGGGAAATGTTTTGTATAGTCAGTCCCCTACATTTTCGAGTGCTGACTTTTAGCCCTTGGGACGTTGGCTTGTGTCTCCGCTGGGAGTACCAAGCAAGCCGTCTCTCCAGAATGTAGCTATTAATTCGTGCAGTGGAGAAAACCATTCTGAGCACAGCGTGCTCTTCCCGTGGAGTCCAAAGGCTCAATTCCATGGCAGCAGAGGCATTTGTAGTACACTAACATCAAGCAAAGTTATGCATGTGCCTCAAAGGAGTATAAGGCCCCTAAGTGTGAAACCATAATGATCTGCTCAGCTTCTAGTATCTAAGAGAGCAAGAAGTTCGTGTTTGCTTGTGACGCTAACTGCCAGCACACACGGCATGCCCCGTGGAGTCCAAAGGCTCAATTCCATGGCAGCAGAGGCATTTGTAGTACACTAACATCAAGCAAAGTTATGCATGTGCCTCAAAGGAGTATAAGGCCCCTAAGTGTGAAACCATAATGATCTGCTCAGCTTCTAGTATCTAAGAGAGCAAGAAGTTCGTGTTTGCTTGTGACGCTAACTGCCAGCACACACGGCATGCTGGTGAATGTATCTGATAAGCTGGTATTTCCTCATTCCTTCCCTAAT